GGTAGCTGGCAGCAGGCGTGGCCAGGCCTGCCGAAGGGGAGGGAAGGGGGCAACTGCCTCGGGGTGTGGAGATACAAACGGGCCTGGAGCTCCCGGCCACCACTGCCGCTACTGTGGTCCCCAGCCCCGCCCTTTCCCCTGAGGCCACGCCCCTTCCCAGAGGCCACGCCCCTCCCCAGAGATCCTGTCCCTTTCCAGAGGCCCCACCCCTTCCCCTGAGGTCCCGCCCCTTCCCCTGAGGTCCCGCCCCATGCAGCCCCCTCCTCCTGAATTTCCACCCCTGCACCTTCCCTTTCTCCCTGAGTCCTGCCCTCACACCACCCCTTCCCCCGAGGCCCTGCTCCCATGCCGCCTCTTCCCCCCAATACTCGCTCCTCTTCGCCCCCTCCCCTGTCAGTCACTGTTACGGCCAATAAAGAGTGAGTGGCATAGCCCCTCCCGCTCTTAAAAGTGTGGGGGAGACACGGTCCCTGCCCCCCATTCCGGCCCCCCCGGCTGGCCCCGCTCCGTGCCCAGCGTTGAGGGTGAGGGCCAGGCAGTGGGAGGGTAGTGGAGGGCCAGAGCGCTGGATTGACGTGCTCCAAGCGGCCTGCCCGAGGGGAGACTGGGCTGAGGCACGTCGGCTGGAGCTGGGCCATTGCCTCCCCGTTCCGCCTCAGCGACACGACGGGGCCTGCACACGCCTGGGCCCCGGCGCCCGTCCCCTGGGCACAGCTTAGTGCCGCACGTTCCTCTCAGGACTGGGGTGGGCCACAGGCGCTCCGAGCGCTCCCGGAGGTGCCGCGTATCTGTGAGAGTCACCAGGAGGGAAGGGGACGCTTTGCTCCCTGACGTGAGTTGCGCACCCCCAGGCTCCGGAGGGGAAGGCATGTTCCTATCACAGCTCCTCCGGCACTGCCAAATGAGCAGGCCTTTTCTGTGTCTGTGGCACCACAACGAATCGCGGATCCTCCACCGAATGCCAGTGGGCTCACGTGGCTCGGGAGTCTGTGTTGAGGTGGCCACGGCCAACCACTGAACTTTGGTAAACGCTCTTGGACCTATCTTGCTCCTAAAGGCTTCGCTCCCTTGGCTTTCATTTCCAGGAAAGGGAGCTTGGCTAAAAAATGGGGAGGGGACTCGTGCACGATTTCTCATAATGCTCCGATGATGGTGGTTAAAGTCAGTGTATTTATTCTTTTCCTTTTCTCATGTGCTCAGAGCCGAAATCTATTGATGCGGGCATTTCCATCCAGACTGAAGTGGTCTGCGCTCCTGTCACAGGTACCCGCTGTGTTTGTGACTCATGGCATGTTATGTGGACTCGCAGGCCAACTAAAACGGGAGGGAAAGCAATCGACTGACAGACAGGAATCAATGGGCTTCCACCCAGCCTGAGTTCCAGCTTTGTCTCCCCTGTTTACCAAGGACTGCTGCAACACCCCCCTACTCACCATCGCTGGCCTGGTAGGGTTCAGCTTTGTATGTCTGGAATTGCAGTGCAGGGAAATGTATTACTCAAGTCAATTGAGTGCAGACGAAAGCCCAGATCTCCAGAATTCTCTAGCCTATGCAGGGATTAACGTGAGAAGCTGGTTTACAGAGGAGATGGAATTTCCTCACCCCAGTGACTCCTTCTGGCCAATTGACAGCATGCTGGAGAGAACCCAGCTCAGAGGCCGGGGAAACTGGCAGCAGCGTGGGCCCTCAGGCGTATCAGTCAGGGTCCATTGGCCAGGCAGGGCTGCAGGCAGGGATACTGAGGTGTGGATCTCCCTGCCTCGGTTCCAGCTGTCTGCAGGGTTAAGTGTCCCATGGAGACTTATGTCCCTGGCGGTGTTATAGAGGGATTATGGGCTAGCTCAGGGGATGGCGTTCCTGTGACGGCCGGTAGGACTTTTCCATAGTGGCCTTTCCTCGCCAGCCCAGCTTCTCCTCAGGTTCTCCATGCAGTGTCCCCTCCCATAGTGCCGGCTCTCTGCTCCGCAGCAGCACAGAGCCCCATAGGACCCTCCCCACAGATCCTTCGGGGAAGTGGAGAGAGGGAGGGGACGCAGACCAGTCCTGGGGGATGGGAGACAGGCCCCGTGGGGAGGCAGCCGCGGGGCGAAGGCCGGAGCAATGGGGAGCGGGGGAGGGGAGATGCCAAGGGGGGGTTCTCAGAGCACACGGAGCCCCTCGAGCCGTGTCCCTTGACCAAGCGGGGTGGCCCCAGGGGCGATGGGGAGGAGGCAGAGCCCACATCTGGAGGGAGGGAGGAGCCACACCGCCCTGTCTGTCATTTCACGCGGCCTGGGGTTGGCGCCTGACCCCAGAGGGCAGGGCAGGGCACGTGCTACACAGCCCAGGTGCTCGGCCCCGGAACGGGTTCTCCATGCCGGGCTGGCCAGGCCCCAGCAGGACTCCGGGCCGCTGGCTGGGGCCTGCTCCTTCGGCTTAGCCTGAGGTGCCATCTGCTGGGCTCGGCGTGTCGGTGGCGTGCTCTTCATGGTACCGTGTCCACCTCGCAGGGATCAATGGGAAAATGCTCTTAAGTGCCGTGGGCAGACACACTCCGGAGGCCAGGAGCTCCCCCTCTAGCCTCGCAGAGCAGCCGGCCTCTTCTCTGGCCCCCGCGCCTCCATCCCACCCCGGCGCCCTGGTGAACGCCTCTCCCAACTGGTCCAGGACCTCCTCTCAGAAATCCACCGCTGGCACGCCCTCCGCTCGCAACTCCTCGGGGTCCTCCAAGATCTCCGCCGGGTCTGTGCTCAGCCCGCAGTCCCCAGGTACGCTTTGGCGCCGGCAGGGCTATAGATACGAAAGTCCAGCGAAAGCAGAAGTTACTTATCAAGTGTTAACAAAGCTCATCTAGTCAGGGAGGATGTGGCTCATTCACCCCAGTGGATGGGAAGATGTGAATATCAAGAGCAGGGGAAGTTGCCTTTGTAGTGCGTTAGCCAGTTCAGATCTGTATTCAGGCCTAATTGGATTGTATTGAATCTGTAAATGAACTGTGTTACCCCCAAAAATTCCCACTGGAGACCACCTACGGTTACACTAGTTTGGATTTATTGTTTGAGGAATTAGCAATCCACTGTATGCACTACAAAAATAGAGCTGCCACCAAAGGTTTAAACTAAAGAGGGAACCAGCTATCTCTCTGTGTCTCACACAAACAAGCACAAACACCCCTCCGTTCATTCACACACATTCATTCCTGCCCTCAGGCGCTCACACTCTTCCACAGGCATATGGGTTGCAGAAGGAGCCAAGGCATGTGGATCCTGGAGGGTCTGTCTGCTCATCCTGGCTGGGGAGCTAGTCAGGAAAGACACTTGGCTGTAGACAGAGCTGCTTCTCAAGAGCAGGGGAAGAAAGAGAGAGTCTCCCATGTGCTCCCTGTCTTTATATTGTGTCTGTATGGCCCCAGCAAAGGGTTAGTCTGTGATCATAGAATCATAGAACACTAGGACTGGAAGGGACCTCGAGAGGTCATCGAGTCCAGTCCCCTGCCCTCATGGCAGGACCAAATACTGTCTAGACCATCCCTGATAGACATTTATCTAACCTGCTCTTAAATATCTCCAGAGATGGGGATTCCACAACCTCCCTGGGCAATTTATTCCAGTGTTTCACCACCCTGACAGCTAGGAACTTTTTCCTAATGTCCAACCTAAACCTCCCTTGCTGCAGTTGAAGCCCATTGCTTCTTGTTTTATCCTCAGAGGCCAAGATGAACAAGTTTTCTCCCTCCTCCTTGTAACACCCTTGAAAACGGCTACCATGTCCCCCCTCAGTCTTCTCTTTTCTAAACTAAACAAACCCAATTCTTTCAGCCTTCCCTCATAGGTCATGTTCTCTAGACCTTTCATCATTCTTGTTGCTCTTTTCTGGACCCTCTCCAATTTCTCCACATCCTTCTTGAAATGCGATGCCCAGAACTGGACACAATCCTCCAACTGAGGCCTAACCAGCACAGAGCAGAGCGGGAGAATGACTCCTCGTGTCTTGCTCACAACACTCCTGTTAATGCCTCCCAGACTCATGTTTGCTTTCATGATTTCATAATCATCGCCATGTGCTCCAGCCTTAGCCTTGCAGGTTCAAACACAAAACACACTCACACTCTCTCTCTCCCTCCGCCACTCAGGGGAGAATGCAGTTTAGAGCAAGTTACAAACAAAGTGGCTGAGAGTTACAAAGGTTGCACAGTTGCAGTTTCCAGTAAGTTTCTGAGAGTTACAAAGATGACAAAGATGACAGCAAGTGGCAAGGTTTGACAAAGACGACAATGAGTTGCAGATTCACCTTAGACCTCACAGTTAGTGCATTTTCAGAAAATGCATGTGTAAAATCAAGTCAGCTCAGGCGGAGGCTTTTTATGCAACAAGCTACAGTTCAGCTGTTGCCCTGGGTAATCCCGTTCTGAAGTGTTTTTGCAGAAGGATGGCTCCGTTTCAATCCATGTCCCATCCAACAGGACTTTGACCGCAGCAGGGCCAGAGCAGCTAAGCACCTTGGCTTACGACTGGCGACATAAATTCCCTGTCATTCAGTCCCTCGCTGTCTGAATAACATAGCAGCAGTGACCCTAGAGACAAGGGGGGATGTCCCATCCAACAGGACTTTGACCGCAGCGGGGCCAGAGCAGCCTTGGCTTATGACTGGAGACATAAATTCCCTGTCATTCAGTCCCTCGCTGTCTGAATAACACAGCAGCAGTGGCCCTAGAGACGGGGGGGTGGGCTCTGTGTGGCGTGTAGGCCGTGTCCGGTTGGGCCCCTTGCAAGCTAACGGCCTCCCTCTCCCTTTCACTGTAATTTCCTCCATCAGCTCTGGTGTGGGGTGCAGAGAAAAGCATGTGGTTCAGGGACTGGCTTGTCCGACACAACCTGGCCTGGCTTCCATCCATGGGTCAGTGACCCTATAGTGGCTGAGAGTCATGCTGGCCAGCTGCCGTCTGGTGGCCTCTGTGAAAAGAGTCGGTGGGATGTTTTCACACGTTCCGTTCACGACCCCTCAGCCCCACCCAGGGAACAGAGCCCAAAACGCTGTGGCCAAGGGTCCGCTCATGCAGGAAAGACCCGGGAGGACGGAGCTAGCGTTTGGGGGTGGCTTTGAATTTTCTCCTCTCGTCCCACAGGCTCCCGGAGCTTAGAAAAGAGGTTACCCTTTGGTCTGCGCAAGAACCACAACTCCCTGAAAATGGCCAATGTGCACCCACCGGCCCTGGCATCCCAAGTGGCCTACCTGAAGGACATCGTCTGCTACCTGTCGCTGCTGGAACGGGGCCGGGCTGAGGACAAGCTGGAGTGTAAGTGCTGGCAGCCACGGAGACCATGCGGTGGTGCTGGGTGGGGCGGGCTGGGAGGAGAGGAGAGAAACGAGTGTGACAGTGGGGAGAGTCCTGTGTTCCCAGCTGGCTCCTGCGCTCCCTGTGAGCCTCACCACATGCCTGGCCTAAAGCAAAACACATCTGAGAGGAGCGTTGCTGGAGCAAAGAGAAATCAGCTGAGGCCTCAGGTTTTGTCTACCCTTCAGGCTTTTTGCGCAGGAAGCTTTTGTCCGAAGAGATCTTCTGCGAAATGTCTTGCGCAAGAGAGCGCCCGCACTGCGAAAGCGCATCGAAAAAGCGTGGACTGCGTTCTCTAAAAGGCTGCCACTGGCCAAGCTCTGGTCTGAGCTGCAGAAGAAATCTGAGGAGCAGGGGGGCCTATGATCATGTGCACTTCCTCCCCCCTCCCCCCGCCACACACACACACACACACACACACACACACACACACACACACACACACACACACAGAGCTCTTGCACAAAAACGCGCTTGAAGTGTGGATGCTCCGCGAGTTTTTTCAGAAAAATGGCCGTTTTTCCACAAAAACTCCGTGGCGTAGACATAGCCTCAGTGTTTTCCATCCTTAGAACCTAAGAACGGCCACACTGGGCCAGATCAAAGGTCCACCCAGCCCAGTGTCCTGTCTGCCCACAGTGGCCAATGCCAGGTGCCCCAGAGGGAGGGAACAGAACAGGGAAACATCAAGTGATCCCTCCCCTATCATCCCTTTTCAACCTCGGACAAACAGAGGCTAGAGACACCATTCCTACCCATCCTGGCTAATAGCCATTGATGGACCTAACCTCCATGAATCTATCTAGCTCTTTTGTGAGCTCTGTTAAAGTCCTACTCTTCGCCACATCCTCCGGCAAGGAGTTCCACAGGTTGACTGTGTGCAGAGTGAAGAAAAACTTCCTTTTGTTTATTTTTCACCTGCTACCTATTCATTTCATTTGGTGACCCCTAGTTTTTATAGTATGGGAACAAATAAATAACTTTTCCTTATTCACTTTCTCCACACCAGTCATGATTTTATAGATTGCTATCATATCCCGCATCACTCTCCGCATTTCTAAGCTGAAAAGTGCCAGTCTTTTTAACCTCTTTTTATACGGGACCCGGGCCAAACCCCTCATCATTTTTGTTGCCTTTTTCTGAACCTTTTCCAAAGCCAATGTATCTTTTTTGAGATGAGACGACCACATCTGCACGCAGTATTCCAGATGTGGGCGTACCATGGCTTTATATAGAGGCAATAAGATATTCTCTGTCTCATTCTCTATCCCTTTTTAAATGAGTCCTGTCCCTCGTACGTCTACTGCAGTCTGTAGCCACGTCAGTCCCGGGGTACTAGAGAGATGAGGCTGGGGAAGGTCACGTCTGGGGCTGGCGCCAGTTAACGAGACAAACAAGATTGAGAGGCTACCGAGACTCGGTCCCTATAGAAGTGCTGTAGTGGGATGAACTTGTTCATGGTGGCACACCACTGCCCTCTGCTGGATGGAAGCAGGACTGAGGGGCTGTCATGCGCTCCTGGCGAAATCGGGCCTTGTCTACATAGGAAAGTTTTAGCGGTTATACATGGGGACACTCCTGTTCCAGTAGGAACGTGCATTGATTTGGCTCAGCTTAAGCCTCCTTCCCAAGAGACACAAGGCTAGCGACAGCATTCCTACCCATCCCAGCTAACAGTCATTGCTGGAGCTGTCCTCCATGAATGTATCTAGCTCTTTTCTGAATCCTGTTAAAGTCTTGGTCTTCACAACACCCTGTGGCAAGGAGTTCCACAGGTTGACTGTGCGCTGCGTGAAGAAAAACGTCCTTTGGCTTGTTTTAAACCGGCTGCCTATTCATTACATTTGGTGACCCCTAGTTCTTGTGTTCTAGGAAGGAATAAATGATTCTTCTTTAGTCACTTTCTCCACATCAGTCATGGAGAGGGAGGGCGCTGCTAGGAGGGACCACAGGGAGGTGGCCACACCAGTAAAACAGTGGCCAGCTGGGGACAGGGCTCTGCACATTGCAGGCCACCAGCAAAGGGTAAATGGCTCCTCTGCCGATTCTTCTTTAGTCACTTTCTCCACATCAGTCATGGAGAGGGAGGGCGCTGCTAGGAGGGACCACAGGGAGGTGGCCACACCAGTAAAACAGTGGCCAGCTGGGGACAGGGCTCTGCACATTGCAGGCCACCAGCAAAGGGTAAATGGCTCCTCTGCCCCAAAGCCTCAAGCCAAACCTCTCCCCCCCAACCCTCGGCCACAGCGCCGGAGCGGGGGGAGGAGCCCCCATGCCAGCACCCCCCAGCAGCAGCCACCAACCAGTGCCCGGCCTCCTAGCCCCCTGCCCTGAGCCTCCCACCCCCTTCCCTGAGCCCTGCACCCTGCCCTGAACCCCTCCTCAACTCTCCAGCTCCCAGGCCTGATTCCTACCCCCCAAGCCGCCTGCCCTGACTCCTGCACCCCCCAAAAGATCACTAAGGACCCGAGCAATGCCCGGTACATCTCCTTAGTGGGCTTATACAGCGGCTACGATATTTCCTGTTCGACTCTCTTCATGATTCCCACGCTCGGTTCTGGTTTTTGACGGCTGCTGCGCGCTGAGTGGATGTTCTCCGAGAACTAGCCCCAGGGCCTCCAAGGCCTCTCTCGCACGCGGTAACAGCTAAGGGAGACCCCGTTGTTTTCTAGGCGTGGCTGGGACTCTGCTTCCCAATGGGCTTCCCGTTGCCTTTATCCGCATTGAAATCCATTTGCCATTTCGTTCCCCCCTCGCCCGCTCCTGGGAAATCCTCTGGAAGCTCTTCCCAGGCCGCCGTGGACTTACCGCTGTGGTCATATGCATGTTCATGGGGACCCCAAGGGCGAGGGCTAGACTGTGGTAGCCACCCTGCTTCCCACTGCATTGGGTCACCCCCCGGGCGCAGTTCTGGCTCTTGGAGACTTGTCGGAGGAGCGCCGGGTAGGGCGGAGAGGAGGAATCGTGTCTTCTCGCTTGAGCGTCCCTCCCATGCGACACAGGCCTGAGGCGTCCCATGGAGTTCCAAGCCCCACACGGTTCAACCGAACGCCCAGCGGACCCTCCCGCGTCTCTCCTGAAGCCCAGCCCTGGCAGGCAAGGACGTGACCCATTAAGGCCGCCCTCCGCCCTCCGCCCTCCACAGCCACGTCTTTGTCTGGTAGAAAGAGCCAGTTCATTGTCCCTTGGCGTGACTCCGGCATGACTCCGGGCTGGGGCTGAACACTGGCAGCTCTCGGCGCTGGGGATTCGGGGAGAGACGTCTCAAGGGATCCCAGCAAGCCCAGCCCTGGCAGGCAAGGACGTGACCCATTAAGGCCGCCCTCCGCCCTCCGCCCTCCACAGCCACGTCTTTGTCTGGTAGAAAGAGCCAGTTCATTGTCCCTTGGCGTGACTCCGGCATGACTCCGGGCTGGGGCTGAACACTGGCAGCTCTCGGCGCTGGGGATTCGGGGAGAGACGTCTCAAGGGATCCCAGCAAGGCTGTGCTTTGCCTCCAACGCCCAGCGGATTTAGGAGCCGACGGCTCATTTCCCAAAGAACTGAGGCGCTGCGGGTGTGGCCACTCAGTGACAAAAAACCCACGCCAGCCAGCTGGGGCTCATGGGGCTCACACTGGGGGTGTCTCCCCCAGAGTCACAGGCTCAGGCTAGAAACCGGGCTCTGGGACCCCCCCCCCAACACACAGGATCCTAGAGCCCAGGCCCAGCCTCAGCCGGGAAGTCTGCCTGGCCAGAGACAACCTGCCTCTGCCTATGTTTGGGGGCTAGGGTGGCCACCGAGCAAGGCCGGCCTTACCATGAGCCGAAATCCCGGAATCAGCTGAGTACTCCCCAGCTGACTCCAGGTTCTGCGGAAGTGCCCAGGGTCAGGTATGGAGTCCCCAGCTGAACCCAGGCTCCCTGTGGCACTGCCCCTTTGAAACGCCACCACGGCATTTCAAAGCGGCAGCACCACGCAGAGCCCATACCCATTCTTTGATAGAGGCAGCAAGGGAGGGAGAGAAGTGATTACTCAAGTTAAGTAGTCTTTAACATCCGTAATACAGGGCAAAAGAAAAAAGGTAGTAACAGTGTAAGTTAAAATTAAGTCAGCTAGGGCTCCAGTGGCAGGAGTGCTGCACTCCCAGCCTAGCTCCCTCTGCTGGCTGCCAGGGCAGCAGACTGCCAAACTGGTTAAAGGAGTTGGCTGGGGTTTTGCCCCTCCAGATCTGGGACTGCCCTAGCTCTAAACCCCCTCCCACAGGTGGCCATTTTGGGAGGGGGGGGGCGCTGCAGCTGCACATACCAGGTCGCTGCTGTTCTTCTGATTCGGGGAGCGAGGGGGGAGGGCGCTTGCACAGGCCCAGGGGGGGGGGCATACCCCCAGCCAGCTCTGTACACCTGCCTGGCTACCAAGGCAGCCTGCAGGAGAGCCCCGGAGCCCAGCCCGGCTGGGAGCAGCTGCAGCCGAGTGCTCCAGCCGGCTGGGTTCTTACCCGGGCGTGCCCGGTTCCTTTCCCCTCTGGTGTCAAGAGCAAAAGCGAGGCCATAACGGGCACAGGCCCAGGGGGGGGGGCATACCCCCAGCCAGCTCTGTACACCTGCCTGGCTACCAAGGCAGCCTGCAGGAGAGCCCCGGAGCCCAGCCCGGCTGGGAGCAGCTGCAGCCGAGTGCTCCAGCCGGCTGGGTTCTTACCCGGGCGTGCCCGGTTCCTTTCCCCTCTGGTGTCAAGAGCAAAAGCGAGGCCATAACGGCGTCCTAGTGCATGGCAAGAGAGCACAGAGCAGCAAACCGGGGTGGGGGAGAGAGAGGAGGGAAGCACCTCACCCCACAGCGGGTGCCCAGTTCCCAGGGAGTTGGGGTTGGTCCTGGACTTGATGACCTCCTGAGATCTCTTCCAGCTCGGTGATTCTATCCCCGGGGAGCCTCGGTCCCGTGGCCTGTCCCTGGAATGTGGGTGCCTAAATCGCTTCTACAGATGAGCCCGGCAGGGCAATGGAGCTAGCGCATGTCCGTGTGCGACGGCTCTCGGCACTCGCCCCAGGCTCGCTGCTTGACCGTCTGTGAGCAGCGGTTGGACTGCAAAGGCCGGGCGGCGATGGGCGAGAACGACTCATCTCTCTGCTCCGCTCATTGAAACCCCTCAGCCTCCCGCCAGGGCCTGGCATGAGTCCTTCCCTGGGGAAGGCGCTGCTGGTGGTGGGCCGGGACGTGTGAGCCGCCCTGCAGCGTGTTGCCGTGTTCTTGGGCTGCTGGATGGCCGCTGTGTACCGGTTGGACTGCAAAGGCCGGGCGGCGATGGGCGAGAACGACTCATCTCTCTGCTCCGCTCATTGAAACCCCTCAGCCTCCCGCCAGGGCCTGGCATGAGTCCTTCCCTGGGGAAGGCGCTGCTGGTGGTGGGCCGGGACGTGTGAGCCGCCCTGCAGCGTGTTGCCGTGTTCTTGGGCTGCTGGATGGCCGCTGTGTACCGCAGGCCATCCGCGCCCAGCCACTGCCAGGGGAAGGGGGCCCGG